ACGCTTCCCACAACGCCCGGCTCAACTTCGGCAATTTGGAAGCGCAGATGGTGACCAGCAGACTATCCCAGTTGTCCGTGCAGACGTTGGAGACCGCTAGCGCATTTAGGACTCCTTGCATCGTACTTTGAAGATCCTTCAAGGCACGACTGCATTCGGATGTTACGCGGGGTAAAAGAGGAGGATGTTAATTTGGTTGGTCACCAGAAGCCGATTCTTTTCATATCGGCTGCGGAGAGCCAGCCATGCGGACTCAAAACCGTCATTAGTGAGGGGGGATTTCTCTACGATGGCCTTCGGATCGCCGCGGGTCTTCTCGGTGAGGTAGTACAGCCTTTCTACCAGAGACAATTTAGGATTGTTGATCACGACCGCAGTGAACAGATCCCGGAATGTGGGCCAGCGGACGTAGTCCCCTGAGAATGCCTCAATATTGACGGGAGGCAGTCGACAGCCGCCCTGTTGGACTGGCTGTGAAGGAGGAAGAACTGTGGATGTGGCCAGTTGGGCATTGAGGTCACTGAGGCACTGCTCAAATACCACATAGCATTCACCGTATGTGTCACGGATGTCCGCTTGGATTTCTGGCTCCTCGTCAGTCATCACCGCGGAGCAGGCCTTATATTCGGCCTCGACGTCCGTCCACATGCTGAGGATTTGGCCTCGACGGACCTCGGACAAAGAGGCGGATGGGGCGGCGGTGATGCGCTCTGCCAGGTGCGACAGTCGGCCAATAGCGGCGACCAATTTGGTCCCAGCGACTGAGGTGGCGGATTGAGCCATTGTGATGCAGTGTCGAGAGCTGACGGGGCTGCTGACGAAGGACCCCTTCGGATCTTGTTTGGTCACAGCTGGAACCTTAAGAGTGACAGGAGACGGGAACAGAACCGATTTGGTCCTTGCCGCAGGGCTGCTACTGGCTGCTCTCGGAGTGAGGGGTGCCTTGATTCTCTGAGTCGGCGTAGTTCCGGAGGCGGACGAGGTGCGTAGCCGGTTGGAAGAGGTCACAGGCAAAAGCTGGTTGCCGTCCTTGTGACCTGTTGGCATATTCCGAACTCACACACGTACAGAAAATCGGATTTGGAAGTCTTGGAGGGACAGAAGACTTATCTGATTAGAATTCCAACAGAATGACGCCAGGAAACAAATATAACCCACTTATAGTCGGAACCCACAGTAGTCGGGTCGACTCGGATTGTTTGAGATCACCGTGAAGTGAAATTTCTCAAACAATGAGTGACTTATATTGCGCTGAGCCGAGGAGAGGACCGGTCACACTGATTTGGGCAATATTTTGCAAATATTGTTAGTGCGGGCTCCTCCGTTTACCTCTTTGACGCAGTCGTGATCAGAACTGGGTTATTTGCGGATGGACGGCGGACGGAATGGCATTTATATCCTCGATAGTTGATTGGAATGGGCGATAGTTTGCTCTTTATGTCGTTTTGGATCGATAAAGTGCAGATAAACCTAGTCGCCGTAAGCGTTACCGGAAGCTACAGTCAAGAATATGACTCCGGAATGGGCGCTGGAGACATATCGGGAGAAATACCGAAGAAAAACAGAAAAAATCGGAAAACGGATGACGAAACGGTTTAAATTAGAAATCGTGGATCGTTCAATTTATTTCTTGTAGTGTCGGTGTGTTTCTTTGGAAATTATCAGATGAGAGTAAGGTTTTCTTTTTTATTTTTTATTAATTTATTTTTGGTCGAAAGCAAGACTCGGTTACGATACCGATATTTTTGGATTGCACCACCTCTAATGCACGGAACAAAAACAACAACAAAAGACCGAAACACCAATTTGCCAATTGGCAGTGGAAATTGCCAAATAATTGCTATAAGTGCGCCGTGCCTTGGTCGCGAGTAATTTATTCGGAAAGTGGAGGATGTTGGAGTTGGAGTAGCGATCGTGAAAAGTGGCTGGAGTGCACGAATTGTACGAAATCGCGAATTTTATATTAAATTTGGCACTTTCGCGGAGTATGTATGTAGTGTATGGAGTGCAGTATTTTTCTACGGGGAGTGGTATTTTTATTGTATGGAATTATGTTATCCATATAGTTGGCAAGATATTGCGGCCAACTATGGCAATAAATGTATGAATGTATGGAAGTAAATATATGTGTGGTTATAAGTATGGAAATAAAACACTTAATTTTAATTGGAGTTGCACTCGGAATGTGCCAGTGTATATTTTTATTGGGGTGGGTCGTGCATGGAATGCACTTGTAGGGACACGTATGGAGATGTGTGTGTATGTGTGTATCTCAAGGGCTGGAATGTGCGTACATACATATGCTCGGAATGCACTTGTTTTGAATTAATTTTTATTTATTTCATTTGTCCGCAAATCATGGACAGACACAAGTAATCGAAAAAACGACCGTATCACTGGTAGTTGAAGGTGAATGACAGGAGAACGGCCGGAATCGCCGATAATATGGCGGTGTCGAAAAAAGAAGAGACACGGATAACGGATGGCACAAAATGAAGAAATAAGTACATATATAAGAATATATATATGTACTTATATCGCGGAACTCGGACTTTTCGGAAATTGGGAACACAAATCACGAATGGAAGGGATTTGAGGCACACGAAAATCGTACTTATCTTAGGATCCTGGTGGTGAAATCGATGCCGTGCTCGAATGCTGGATATGGTTGGAGAAGGCGAAGTAGATCCGGCTCGAAGGACCAATGATTGAATGTACAGGCGATGCGAAGTCCCACAGATGATTTCCCACAGATAAATACAAGAGGCAGCTAGTTCCAATTTCTTCAAAGTTTCCCGCTTTATTCGTAGGGTTAATTCGTATCCACTCTCCGAATAAATTACTCGCGACCAAGGCACGGCGCACTTATAGTAATTATTTGGCAATTTCCACTGCCAATTGGCAAATTGGTGTTTCGGTCCTTTGTTGTTGTTTTTGTTCCGTGCATTAGAGGTGGCGCAATTCAAAAAAATATCGGTATCGTAACCGAGTCTTGCGTTCGACCAAAAATAAATAATAAAAAATAAAAAGACAATTTCCAAACAAACACACCGACACTTCAAGAAATAAAGTGAACGATCCACGATTTCTTATTTAAACCGTTTCGTCATCCGTTTTCCGATTTTTTCTGTTTTTCTTCGGTATTTCTCCCGATAGTTCTCCAGAGTTCTTCCGGAGTCATATTCTTGACTGTAGCTTCCGGTAACGCTTACGGCGACTAGGTTTATCTGCACTTTATCGATCCAAAACGACATAAAGAGCAAACTATCGCCCATTCCAATCAACTATCGAGGATATAAATGCCATTCCGTCCGCCGTCCATCCGCAAATAACCCAGTTCTGATCACGACTGCGTCAAAGAGGTAAGCGGAGGGGCCCGCACTAACAATATTTCAAAATATTGCCCAAATCAGTGTGACCGGTCCTCTCCTCGGCTCAGCGCAATATAAGTCACTCATTGTTTGAGAAATTTCACTTCACGGTGATCTCAAACAATCCGAGTCGACCCGACTACTGTGGGTTCCGACTATAAGTGGGTTATATTTGTTTCCTGGCGTCATTCTGTTGGAATTCTACTCAGATCAGTCTTCTGTCCCTCCAAGACTTCCAAATCCGCTTTTCTGTGCGTGTGTGAGTTCGGAATATGCCAACAGGTCACAAGGACGGCAACCAGCTTTTGCCTGTGACCTCTTCCAACCGGCTACGCACCTCGTCCGCCTCCGGAACTACGCCGACTCAGAGAATCAAGGCACCCCTCACTCCGAGAGCAGCCAGTAGCAGCCCTGCGGCAAGGACCAAATCGGTTCTGTTCCCGTCTCCTGTCACTCTTAAGGTTCCAGCTGTGACCAAACAAGATCCGAAGGGGTCCTTCGTCAGCAGCCCCGTCAGCTCTCGACACTGCATCACAATGGCTCAATCCGCCACCTCAGTCGCTGGGACCAAATTGGTCGCCGCTATTGGCCGACTGTCGCACCTGGCAGAGCGCATTACCGCCGCCCCATCCGCCTCTTTGTCCGAGGTCCGTCGAGGCCAAATCCTCAGCATGTGGACGGACGTCGAGGCCGAATATAAGGCCTGCTCCGCGGTGATGACTGACGAGGAGCCAGAAATCCAAGCGGACATCCGTGACACATACGGTGAATGCTATGTGGTATTTGAGCAGTGCCTCAGTGACCTCAATGCCCAACTGGCCACATCCACAGTTCTTCCTCCTTCACAGCCAGTCCAACAGGGCGGCTGTCGACTGCCTCCCGTCAATATTGAGGCATTCTCAGGGGACTACGTCCGCTGGCCCACATTCCGGGATCTGTTCACTGCGGTCGTGATCAACAATCCTAAATTGTCTCTGGTAGAAAGGCTGTACTACCTCACCGAGAAGACCCGCGGCGATCCGAAGGCCATCGTAGAGAAATCCCCCCTCACTAATGACGGTTTTGAGTCCGCATGGCTGGCTCTCCGCAGCCGATATGAAAAGAATCGGCTTCTGGTGACCAACCAAATTAACATCCTCCTCTTTTTACCCCGCGTAACATGCGAATGCAGTCGTGCCTTGAAGGATCTTCAAAGTACGATGCAAGGAGTCCTAAATGCGCTAGCGGTCTCCAACGCCTGCACGGACAACTGGGATAGTCTGCTGGTCACCATCTGCGCTTCCAAATTGCCGAAGTTGAGCCGGGCGTTGTGGGAAGCGTCCGTAACGGACAAAAAAGAGGTGCCGCCCTGGAAGGAAATCGACTCCTTCCTAACTCAGCACTATCTGACTCTCGAGGCTATTGAGAGCGACCCTGCCACCTCACGAGGGGCTACGAATCCACCACCCTCCAAAGGCGTCCAAAATCCAACCACCTCTCGAAACCACTCCAATCCATTCCGTTCGCAAGGCAGTCCAAGGCCAAACAAGGTTCACTCTTTCAATACCCAAGTGAGTTCGAAGAAGCGAACGTGGGAACCTCTGTTCCAAAGAGAATCACCCGATTCGAGTTTATCCCCGCTTTCTCAATATGTCCGCTGATGCACGTTCCAGCTGCATTAAGAAAAAGCAGCTTTGCCTAAATTGCTTCGCAAGAGGTCATCTGCTTCGCGACTGCTCCAGCAGTCACAATTGTTCCACTTGTGGGGCCAGGCATCACACGCTTCTGCATCGTGCCGCTCCTTCATCCAGGGTGGCGGCTTCGACATCCGGCCAAGCCCCCAGCTCATCCGAACCTCTGCCCAACGTACAGAGCTATTTCGCCTACAGCACAAGTACCGTTCTTCTGGGCACGGCACTTATTAATATTTGCCACCTGGGGACCAATTTCCGTTCCCACGCACTGATTGACTCAGGCTCCGAGGCGACGTTCATCACTGAACGTCTCTTTAACATTATTAAGCCACCGTTCGAAGCCATACAGGCTCAAGTCGCAGGTTTAAACCAAACCGTAGCGGCTAAGGCGCAAAGGCGCTGTCACTTCATGATCGGGGCCGCCTCCAGGCCGGGCCTCAAAATCGAGACCATGGCATATTTTCTGCCTCAATTAGCAGGTAACCTTCCCTCATACCCGATACCGCAGCACTTCTTGGATAAGCTTCCGAACCTCCCGCTGGCAGACCCCTCCTTCCACCGAAGCTCGCAGATTTTAGGCGCTGACATCTTTCCTTCTATCCTGTTGAGCGGCTTCCGGTCTGACATTTGCGGCTCGCTGCTGGGCAAGAGACCATCTTCGGATGGGTCCTATCCGGTCCGGTATCAGCTGACTCGACTCGGACGGTTTCCGCCTTCACCACGAAGCTCTAGTTAGATTAGGACGTCCGACTCGAGAAGCTTCTCACCAAATTCTAGGAGGTGGAGGACCTTCTGGGGAGACCTACGAGTGAGTCAGATTCTGTGTGCGAGAAAAACTTTCGCAAGACCACTAAACGAGCCCCCGATGGGAGGTATATTGTTACTCTCCCTTTCAAGTGTCCAGAGAATGTCGATCTAGGACACTCCAGGTGCGCGGCACAGGCCCAGTTCCTTAAAAACGAGCAGAGTCTGCAGCGGAATTTGCCGCTCAAAGAGCAGTACGACGCCGTTATCCAGGAATATTTAGAGCTAGGCCACATGACAGCGGTTACACCCAGCCATGACTCCGGCCATTACTACCTTCCACATCACGCCGTGTTTAAACCCGACAACACCACAACCAAACTGCGCGTGGTCTTCAACGCCTCCAGCCCATCTTCCAACGGGAAAAGCCTCAACGACACATTGCATTCGGGGCCAGTCCTTCAGTCTGACTTGACCATGCAAATCCTGAGGTGGCGAGTCTTCCGCTATGTCTTCAATGCCGACATCAGCAAGATGTACCGCCAGATCCAAGTGTCTCCCAACACACGCCCTATCAGCGAATACTCTTTCGCGACCGTAATGGGGACGTGTGTGACTACGAGCTTGCCACGGTCACCTTCCGAGTCAATTGCGCACCGTACCTCGCCCTTCGCGTCATTAAGCAACTCGCACAAGAGGTGCGCCCACAGTTGCCAATGGCAAGCGACATCCTGGAGAGTTACATGTACGTGGACGACGTGCTGGCTGGTGCTCACACTCAGTCGCAGGCAATCTCCGCCATTTCAGAATTACGCAAAGCACTCGACTCCGCGGGGTTTCCACTCCGAAAGTGGACAGCGAACCACAAGGGCGTACTGCGCGATATTCCGGTTGACCACCTACTTCGAGCTGACTTCCTAGAGCTTGAAGAAAGTAGCATCGCTAAGACATTGGGGATCCGATGGCAAGCCAGTGCCGATGAATTCTTCTTTGCTCCTCCCGAAGTACTTCATCGGGAGTCCTGTACGAAGCGCAATGTGCTATCGCAGATTGCGCAGCTATTCGATCCAGCGGGATGGCTTGCCCCCTTTGTCATCCAAGCCAAAATTTTCATGGGGGAAATTTGGCTAAGAGAGTTAGGGTGAGATGACGTCCTCCCTAGCGATCTATCTCAAACCTGGGAGACGTTCCTGAATAGTTTTCCGGTTGCACGTGTGTCCAATGGCCAAGGTGCAGATACATGGCTTCTGCGACGCGTCTCAACGTGCCTATGGGGCAGCGATTTACATCCGAGTTGAGCACCGCAGGACATTGTCTGTGCCCTTCTCACAGCTAAAACCCGCGTGGCCCCCGTGAAAACGGTTTCCTTGCCTCGACTCGAACTGTGCGGAGCCGTCCTTCTGACAGAGCTTTCCAAGGCCATCCTTCCTCAACTGCCACTGGACACAAGCCAAGTATCCTTCTGGACCGATTCCACGATTGTTTTGGCCTGGCTGAACAGACCTGCATGCGATTGGACCACTTTCATGGGCAATCGAGTAGCCAAAATCACTCGATGTTGGCCCAGCGAGCGATGGAGCACCGTCCGATCCGAGGACAATCCGGCCGACCTGGCCAGTCGAGGGCTAGGACCCACTGACCTGGTCGGAAGTGATATGTGGTGGCATGGCCCTGCTTGGTTGCATGGTCCAAAATCGGAGTGGCCATGTCCGCGGGACTCACTCCTTGAGACTGACCTGGAGAAGCGAGCCGTCAAGGTGGACCATGCCACCAGCAGCGCCTCCGATATCCTCAGCCGTTTCTCCGAACTCGGGCGGCAGACGACCCATGTCTCCGAGGAGCTGAACGGAAAGGAGGTCGCTGCCGCTCACCAAGCGGTCACACTGACAACCCAACGCTTCCATTATGCTGGGTAGCATCGGTGCCTGCTAAACAAGCAGCCACTCCCTACTACAAGTTCTCCTCAGAATCTTAATCCGTTCCTTGACCAGGACGGAGTCATGCGGGCATGTGGCCGAGTCCAAGCCTCGGCGTCCATGTCCTACAACGAACGGCATCCAATCCTGTTGCCACCCGCATGTCTCCTGGTTCACCTGCTGGTTCGATTCACCCATCATATATCGCTACATGGTTGGAACCAGCTGGTCATCCGCCTTATCCGGGCAACATACTGGATCCCTCGACTACGTCACGTGGTGAGGGCAGTGATCCATTCTTGTAAGGTTTGTTTCCTCCATCGTAAGCGACTCCAAACCCAACTAATGGGCGACCTTCCTGCCTCACGAGTCACATTCTCCAGGCCGTTCACATACACCGGAGTCGACTTCGCCGAGGGCTCGTTTAGTGGTCTTGCGAAAGTTTTTCTCGCACACAGAATCTGACTCACTCGTAGGTCTCCCCGGAAGGTCCTCCACCTCCTAGAATTTGGTGAGAAGCTTCTCGAGTCGGACGTCCTAATCTAACTAGAGCTTCGTGGTGAAGGCGGAAACCGTCCGAGTCGAGTCAGCTGATACCGGACCGGATAGGACCCATCCGAAGATGGTCTCTTGCCCAGCAGCGAGCCGCAAATGTCAGACCGGAAGCCGCTCAACAGGATAGAAGGAAGGATGTCAGCGCCTAAAATCTGCGAGCTTCGGTGGAAGGAGGGGTCTGCCAGCGGGAGGTTTGGAAGCTTATCCAAGAAGTGCTGCGGTATCGGGTATGAGGGAAGGTTACCTGCTAATTGAGGCAGAAAATATGCCATGGTCTCGATTTTGAGGCCCGGCCTGGAGGCGGCCCCGATCATGAAGTGACAGCGCCTTTGCGCCTTAGCCGCTACGGTTTGGTTTAAACCTGCGACTTGAGCCTGTATGGCTTCGAACGGTGGCTTAATAATGTTAAAGAGACGTTCACTGATGAACGTCGCCTCGGAGCCTGAGTCAATCAGTGCGTGGGCACGGAAATTGGTCCCCAGGGGGCAAATATTAATAAGTGCCGTGCCCAGAAGAACGGTACTTGTGCTGTAGGCGAAATAGCTCTGTACGTTGGGCAGAGGTTCGGATGAGCTGGGGGCTTGGGCGGATGTCGAAGCCGCCACCCTGGATGAAGGAGCGGCACGATGCAGAAGCGTGTGATGCCTGGCCCCACAAGTGGAACAATTGTGGCTGCTGGAGCAGTCGCGAAGCAGATGACCTCTTGCGAAGCAATTTAGGCAAAGCTGCTTTTTCTTAATGCAGGTGGAACGTGCATCAGCGGACATATTGAGAAAGCGGGGATAAACTCGAATCGGGTGATTCTCTTTGGAACAGATGTTCCACGTTCGCTTCTTCGAACTCACTTGGGTATTGAAAGAGTGAACCTTGTTTGGCCTTGGACTGCCTTGCGACCGGAATGGATTGGAGTGGTTTCGTGAGGTGGCAGGGTCGCTCTCAATAGCCTCGAGAGTCAGATAGTGCTGAGTTAGGAAGGAGTCGATTTCCTTCCAGGGCGGCACCTCTTTTTTGTCCGTTACGGACGCTTCCCACAACGCCCGGCTCAACTTCGGCAATTTGGAAGCGCAGATGGTGACCAGCAGACTATCCCAGTTGTCCGTGCAGACGTTGGAGACCGCTAGCGCATTTAGGACTCCTTGCATCGTACTTTGAAGATCCTTCAAGGCACGACTGCATTCGGATGTTACGCGGGGTAAAAAGAGGAGGATGTTAATTTGGTTGGTCACCAGAAGCCGATTCTTTTCATATCGGCTGCGGAGAGCCAACCATGCGGACTCGAAACCGTCATTAGTGAGGGGGGATTTCTCTACGATGGCCTTCGGATCGCCGCGGGTCTTCTCGGTGAGGTAGTACAGCCTTTCTACCAGAGACAATTTAGGATTGTTGATCACGACCGCAGTGAACAGATCCCGGAATGTGGGCCAGCGGACGTAGTCCCCTGAGAATGCCTCAATATTGACGGGAGGCAGTCGACAGCCGCCCTGTTGGACTGGCTGTGAAGGAGGAAGAACTGTGGATGTGGCCAGTTGGGCATTGAGGTCACTGAGGCACTGCTCAAATACCACATAGCATTCACCGTATGTGTCACGGATGTCCGCTTGGATTTCTGGCTCCTCGTCAGTCATCACCGCGGAGCAGGCCTTATATTCGGCCTCGACGTCCGTCCACATGCTGAGGATTTGGCCTCGACGGACCTCGGACAAAGAGGCGGATGGGGCGGCGGTGATGCGCTCTGCCAGGTGCGACAGTCGGCCAATAGCGGCGACCAATTTGGTCCCAGCGACTGAGGTGGCGGATTGAGCCATTGTGATGCAGTGTCGAGAGCTGACGGGGCTGCTGACGAAGGACGCCTTCGGATCTTGTTTGGTCACAGCTGGAACCTTAAGAGTGACAGGAGACGGGAACAGAACCGATTTGGTCCTTGCCGCAGGGCTGCTACTGGCTGCTCTCGGAGTGAGGGGTGCCTTGATTCTCTGAGTCGGCGTAGTTCCGGAGGCGGACGAGGTGCGTAGCCGGTTGGAAGAGGTCACAGGCAAAAGCTGGTTGCCGTCCTTGTGACCTGTTGGCATATTCCGAACTCACACACGCACAGAAAATCGGATTTGGAAGTCTTGGAGGGACAGAAGACTGATCTGAGTAGAATTCCAACAGAATGACGCCAGGAAACAAATATAACCCACTTATAGTCGGAACCCACAGTAGTCGGGTCGACTCGGATTGTTTGAGATCACCGTGAAGTGAAATTTCTCAAACAATGAGTGACTTATATTGCGCTGAGCCGAGGAGAGGACCGGTCACACTGATTTGGGCAATATTTTGCAAATATTGTTAGTGCGGGCTCCTCCGTTTACCTCTTTGACGCAGTCGTGATCAGAACTGGGTTATTTGCGGATGGACGGCGGACGGAATGGCATTTATATCCTCGATAGTTGATTGGAATGGGCGATAGTTTGCTCTTTATGTCGTTTTGGATCGATAAAGTGCAGATAAACCTAGTCGCCGTAAGCGTTACCGGAAGCTACAGTCAAGAATATGACTCCGGAATGGGCGCTGGAGACATATCGGGAGAAATACCGAAGAAAAACAGAAAAAATCGGAAAACGGATGACGAAACGGTTTAAATTAGAAATCGTGGATCGTTCAATTTATTTCTTGTAGTGTCGGTGTGTTTCTTTGGAAATTATCAGATGAGAGTAAGGTTTTCTTTTTTATTTTTTATTAATTTATTTTTGGTCGAACGCAAGACTCGGTTACGATACCGATATTTTTGGATTGTACCACCTCTAATGCACGGAACAAAAACAACAACAAAAGACCGAAACACCAATTTGCCAATTGGCAGTGGAAATTGCCAAATAATTGCTATAAGTGCGCCGTGCCTTGGTCGCGAGTAATTTATTCGGAAAGTGGAGGATGTTGGAGTTGGAGTAGCGATCGTGAAAAGTGGCTGGAGTGCACGAATTGTACGAAATCGCGAATTTTATATTAAATTTGGCACTTTCGCGGAGTATGTATGTAGTGTATGGAGTGCAGTATTTTTCTACGGGGAGTGGTATTTTTATACCCGTACTCAAAAAAGAGTTAAGGGGTATATTAGATTTGTGGTAAAAGTGGATGTGTGTAACGCAGAGAAGGAAACGTTTCCGACCCCATAAAGTATATATATTCTTGATCAGCATCAATAGCCGAGTCGATATAGCCATGTCTGTCTGTCCGTCTGTCCGTCTGTCTGTCTGTCTGTCTCGATGAGCGCCTAGATCTCAGAGACTATAAGAGCTAGGGCAACCAAATTTGGTTTCCAGACTCATGTGATATCACACTGCTACAAGTGTATTTCAAAATTTCGCCCCGCCTCCTTCCGCCACCACAAAGGACGAAAATCTGTGGCAAGCACAATTTTAAAGAAACGATAAAACTAAAAACGCAGTATCGTAGAGAATGACCATATCTACCAGACTGCCGAATCTGAATCAGATCGGATCATAATTATAGCCAGAATGAAGAAATTAATTTTCAGTTGCTTCCCCTCCCCCTCCCACCGAGACAACACAACTCATCTTCCTTCTCGCTCGCACACTCTGCCGCGTTCAGTGCGCGAGCAACCCCTAGCGGTGGAGATGTAGAATATGAATGGAACATGTACAATCTACATGTTAGATGTATAATAGACATTTTATATGTAGATGTAGATAGCATATGTAGCAAAAAAATGTAAAATGTAAAATTTTTATTTTTTTTTCTAAAATTCTAAAAAATCATAAGCTCAAAAGTGTATGTATATACTGACTGAGTACGGGTATAAGTAGAGTCGTGTCCCCAGAAACGACTCACACGTTCCTTCTCGTTATTGTATGGAATTATGTTATCCATATAGTTGGCAAGATATTGCGGCCAACTATGGCAATAAATGTATGAATGTATGGAAGTAAATATATGTGTGGTTATAACTATGGAAATAAAACACTTAATTTTAATTGGAGTTGCACTCGGAATGTGCCAGTGTATATTTTTATTGGGGTGGGTCGTGCATGGAATGCACTTGTAGGGACACGTATGGAGATGTGTGTGTATGTGTGTATCTCAAGGGCTGGAATGTGCGTACATACATATGCTCGGAATGCACTTGTTTTGAATTAATTTTTATTTATTTCATTTGTCCGCAAATCATGGACAGACACAAGTAATCGAAAAAACGACCGTATCACTGGTAGTTGAAGGTGAATGACAGGAGAACGGCCGGAATCGCCGATAATATGGCGGTGTCGAAAAAAGAAGAGACACGGATAACGGATGGCACAAAATGAAGAAATAAGTACATATATAAGAATATATATATGTACTTATATCGCGGAACTCGGACTTTTCGGAAATTGGGAACACAAATCACGAATGGAAGGGATTTGAGGCACACGAAAATCGTACTTATCTTAGGATCCTGGTGGTGAAATCGATGCCGTGCTCGAATGCTGGATATGGTTGGAGAAGGCGAAGTAGATCCGGCTCGAAGGACCAATGATTGAATGTACAGGCGATGCGAAGTCCCACAGATGATTTCCCACAGATAAATACAAGAGGCAGCTAGTTCCAATTTCTTCAAAGTTTCCCGCTTTATTCGTAGGGTTAATTCGTATCCACTCTCCGAATAAATTACTCGCGACCAAGGCACGGCGCACTTATAGTAATTATTTGGCAATTTCCACTGCCAATTGGCAAATTGGTGTTTCGGTC